TATTATTACTTCTACTGCTAATATTACAACTACAACTAATAATAATAATAATAATAGTAATAATAATAATTAAATAATAATGAAAGTAATATTCACACTGCTGTAGAAAACTGCACAAAAATAGTGCTGTTAAGTTTTAACTACCTACCTACCTTGAGGCTACCTTGAGGTGCTTCCGGGGCTTAGTGTCCCCGCGGCCCGGTCGTCGACCAGGCCTCCTGGTAATTTACTATAGTAATTAAATTAATAAAGTAACTAAAGAATAAAGTAAAGTCAGTAATTATTACACACAAATAAACATAATAATTACAAGAACACTGATGCAACAAAATGTCTAAGACAAGCAAGACATGAATCTGAAAAGCATGTTTGTGACAAGTTCTAAGAATCCAAAATACTCGGTGTTCAATCCCCGACCGTCCAAGTGGTTGGGCACCATTCCTTCCCCCCGTCCCATCCCAAATTGTTATCCTGACCCCTTCCCCTTGCTATATAGTCGTAATGTAATAGCGCTTTCTCCTGATAGTTCCCTTTCCCTTTTGTAGAACACTGAGTATTTGATAAGATATTAAAAGATAAGGTATCTATCTTATCCTCAGATAAGATAGATATCTTAATCTATCTATAAATTACCTTCTCTTCATTTGCCTTTGAAAATATAAGGGAAGGTAATCTACAGATAGATTAAGATATAAACTAAATATACAAATGCAATGATGTAAATAAATATAGATATAAGAAAAGATAGATAAAGAGATATCAGACTCTTCACGGTGTCTCACCTTTACATTTATTACAATTCAAATTACACCAAAAATTATTATTTAGAACCGCTCGTCTAGAGTAAGATAAATTAAATATATATATCATGAATATATAATGACAAATTACAATAATGAAAACACCTTTTACATTAATACCAACTGCAGAGTGAAAATATGTATATGTATGTATGTATATATATATATATATATATATATATATATATATATATATATATATATATATATATATATAATATATATATATATATATATATATATATATATATATATATATATAATATATATATATATATATATATATATATATATATATATATATATATATATATATATATATATATATATATATATATATATATATATATATATATATATATATATATATATATATATATATATATATATATATATATATATATATATATATATATATATATATATATATATATATATATATATATATATATATATATATATATATATATATATATATATATATATATATATATATATATGTCATGAAATAACATGATTTAAAAGGCTGTTTACTTGGCGTAGTTCGCATATAAATTGTATTTCCAATGGTCTGGCTCTTCCTCTTTAATTGAGTGGAAACTATACTCAAGGTGATTACGAATTTGTCAACTTGTCCTCATTAACAACTGCCAAATGATTGTTAATCCAGCTGCCAATCCCTCCCTCCTTATGACTGAAAACAGTTTATACACGACTCACAACTAATGACGTTCGAACATTTATCGAACAGTGCTTCAGTGACTACCTATGTTCGAATCGCAACCCCATAAATGCTTCACTCGCATTCCCCAAATGCAAATAAATGTCAATAGAGGCTAAACATCTAGTCTAATATAACCTATGTCTAATAATACAGCCGAAATTTATGATATAATTATATTAATTAATGTATGAGAAATAAATAACTAATACACAATTCGTTAAAATGGATGAAAACGTTTTGGGGGGTCTGCAGCTGCTTTAACGAGCCTAGCCTGATGACAAGTAGAAATTTTCCGTTCGAATAAATTTTTGCAGTATGTATTGTCGAGCAACTATGAGATCTGCCTGAGAGAGTCTGCACTTGGTTCTTTAAAACCACACCATAACAACTCTCCGTCCCTGAGCTAAGATAAATCAAATATTTTCATATTCAGATCTGTACTTCTTATCTCAGTCATGGTAGTATGTATTTACTAAGCAGTTTACGAACTTCCAAGCATTACGAGGTCGTTCTCAACCCAAGATATTTATTTCATTGGACCTGTGAACACTATAGAGTTCGCAAACGGTATAATAAATAGAGACTAAGCTACCATGATGGAGGTAACAGGTACAGCTGTCGTAAGTGGATTCGTAAGTCCTTCGAGATTCATGACACAGGACATCCAATTTATCGTTGAGTCCTGAGTGCGTTCAGTTGTTCCTCACACACCAGTCCACATAGTTGAATGACGAGATCCGGTGATCAACGCCGCGGTTTTCTTCCCCGTAGACAAAAATACTTCAATTCTCTCAACTCTGTCAATTCTCCCAGAGAGATATTGCTGCAAATTGGTGATTGATGAACCTTCGGGCAGCAGTTGTCTCTTCCTGTGCATAACTTAAGGTTAGAGAATAGTCATCAAAACAGGGGTAAGGTGTGGTAGGGTGATGAATAACATATTCCATAAGAAGGTGGACAAATGAGTGAGTTTTGTATTTAATTAAAAACTATTATTTGAGTCTGCCTGTCTGTCTGAAGGTCTGAAGGTCTGTCTGTCTGTCTGATTGCCTGTCTTCGTCTCTCACCCTCTCTCTTTCTCTGCTCTTTATTCAAACGAACACACACTCACAAAACAATGAAGACTAGACACACTCACAAAACAATGAAGACTAGACACACTCACAAAACAATGAAGACTAGACACACTCACAAAACAATGAAGAAGAATCAACCCAATGCTCAGCATATCCTCTCTACACAGATAAGAGATTTATCTGTATAGGTAAAGGGAGAGGTATAGAAAAAGGAGAGAGAGAGAGAGAGAGAGAGAGAGAGAGAGAGAGAGAGAGAGAGAGAGAGAGAGAGAGAGAGAGAGAGAGAGAGAGAGAGAGAGAGAGAGAGAGAGAGAGAGAGAGAGAGTAAAGGCGGGTTGACTGGTACCTGGATACCTGATGTTTCACGACATAATCTGACCAAAAACCCTCTCCTCTCACGCCCACCATTTTACACTGCCACAGTCATGAAGGTGAAGGGACCCGCCTCTTCTGCAGTCCTGGGAGTGGGGTCACCTCGCCGGGTCAGTCCTGTAAGGGCACCGCTCCAGGTTAGTTTTCAGAGTTAACCTCTTAAACCTTCTTATTTACGTCGGGTATTCGAAATCAGGGGCCAGATTCACGAAGCATTTACGCTAGTACTTACGAACCTGTATATCTTTTCTCAATCTTTGGCGGCTTTGTTTACAATTATTAAACAGTTAATGAACTCCGAAGCACCAGGAGGCTGTTTATAACAATGACAACAGTTGATTGGCAAGTTTTCAGGCTTGTAAACTGGTTAATAAATGTAACCAAAGCCGTCAAAGATTGAGGAAAGATTTACACGTTCGTAAGTGCTTGCGTAACTGCTTCGTGAATCTGACCCCTTAGGTTCGTAAGTCACCAAATAGCGGTCAGATTCCATATATTTCTCATAGAGGTCGCCCTTTTGAGGTCAAATACCTAAGTTTAATCGGAAAGGTCGCCTTATGATGGCCAATTTCCAAAGTTTGTAGGTAAGGATCACCTTTCTAAATGTTCCTATTTCAAATCGAACTTTCGAGCCTGGTGGCGTATTTCAGTTAGATCTCAACCCCAGTACTCCTGTGATAGTCGAGGCAGCTGAAGCGTATTAGATTATGAGTATTAATGAGAGTGTGAGTAATTGAGGACATCAACCGACTCCAGGCGACAAAAAAATAGCCACCCACCTTGTAGTGACAGGTACGAGTGTTGAATACAATCAGGTCAACATCATCCACTTGTTGAACATGTCTGAGAATGGTGGGGATGGTGGTAGTGGCGGTGATGGTGGGGGTGGTGGTGGTAGTGATGGTGGCTATGGAAGTATTTGTAATGATAGTGGTGGCGATGGTGGTGATGGCGGGGGTAATTGTGGTGGAAGTGATGATGATGATGGTGGTGGTGGATGCAGTGGCAGTGAGGATGTTTATGGTAGTGTACGTGATGGCAGTAGTGGTGGTGGTGATATTGGCGGGGTTGATGGTGAGGGGCAATAGTTGTGGGTGTGGTGATGGTGTTGGATTTTAGTAACGGTGGAGATGGAGGTGGAAGTAATGAGGGAGGAGGTAGTAGGGTTGAGAGAATTACACAAGGTAGCGAGTGTGAGGATGAAGAGAATAGGGTTAGTGATTGGTGGTAGGTGTGATGGTAGTTGATGGGGTGGTAGTATAGTGTTGATGGGGGTCATGGTATGGTGTTGATGGTGGTACTGATAGCTATTATGTCATGATCACTGAAAACTCGTTAATGACACCAAACTATGGAAAATTTACTACTTAACCAAAAAATTAAAGATCACAAACAGACATAGACGAACTTCATATTTAATTACAAATGCTATCACAATTTAAATGTTCAGAAATGCAAGGTAATAAATATCAAAAAAGCTATTGGACAAATAACACAAAGCTAATTCAAATACACAAAGAAATATCTGAAAACAATAGTCGCTATTATTTTGAAACTATTGAATATTCTGAGGCAGTAAAAAAAAATGGGAGCAATATAAAAAATTTTGCCTAATTAGTGAATCATTTGTGTTTGTGACCCAGGTCATTCTCACTCGAAATAAGCCATTCTAACGTACGTTCTATATTAATGTCACCTCTCCTGATACCATTCCCGACGAAGCAGGAAAATGGTATGAGAATGGGTTGACCAGTCCAGCAACGAGAAGGCCTGGTCGAGGACCGGGCCACGGGGACGCTAAGCCTCGAAAACACCTCAAGGTAACCTCGAGGTAAGGTAAGGGTTGGGAGAATTTTTGTTGTGGGGGGAACGTGGGGAGGGGGGGGGGTTGAAACGGTTTAGAGAAGGTATGGGAATTGTTGAAAGATGCTCAATAAACTCATAGCTTAAAATCTAGACAACATTTCAGTAAGTATTCGTTTACACTCAAAATATAAGTACGAAATTTTACCACAAAGTTAGGCCAACCTGAGGCCAGTGTGACGATACACCTCGGAGTCCCGAGATAACTCAGGTACACTTGTGAACATTTCCAATACGTTGTTTGTGAGTATAATACTATTCTTAATTTTATGCCGTGTGAACAGGTTGTCTGTCGCGCCCCGCTTCCATCCCCTCCGCTTTTATCATCTCACAAACAGTGTTTGTGTTTGTTTGTAGACACCCTCTTGGTCCTCACTCCCCCCTCCCCCCTCCCTCCCCTCCTGGGTCCTCACTTCCCCCCTCTGGGTCCACACTCCTCCCCCCCTATCACTATAGGTAATAAGATATCTTATTACCTATTGCTATTAACGTTAGAATATCTCATAAATATGTATCCTTGACTTTTACTTGACTTATTTTGAACATTTATACATTTTGTTGACCTAAATAAAATTTAATTTAAAATGTAAACTAATATCAATTTATACGTGATCAAAATTTCGTTCCGGGTTACACAGCTCGTTAAAACAGACGAACGCGTTCCTTAGATCGGTCAAATTCTTGTTAATCTAATTGGCTAGTTTAACGAATACCAGCCAAGCCATTGTCGACCACGCTGCTCCAAGCTTCTGCTGACCCCAAAATACGCACCGAACAACCCTAATGGCTGTTCATTCAGAACAGGAAATTTCTTCAATATACTGTTATATATTAGCATATTGTCCATATTTAGATCTAGGTTACATTAGGTGTATAAGTTTTGTTCGAAATTATTTGTATCTGTTGTATGTGAGTGAAGTATTTGTAGAGTTGAAATTTAAACAGATCGTCAGCGAGGTAATTTTTTTGAGAAATGTTCGAGCGCCATGTGTAAATGTGAACTCGTGTGTAAATTGTTTTTCATTTATAAATAGGAGCCTGAGGGTGGATTAACGAGCATTTAGTCGATATTAATGGCAACAGGCTGAATTAGTTACATTCAAAGTACGAGGGTGTAGCAATTAAGAAGTACACTTCGGCGAGAAGTGAGAGAGGCATTCGGACAATGTTTTGCATGTTCTGAAGGTGAGCTGAAATTAAACACCACCTGACTTCGAATGGGTTTATGAGCAGTTTCATTCGTAACTTAAAACGAAGACGTTCTGGACTCTATACCTTCGCGGGTCAGATCATTATCTGGTTGACTGTAAGTTGTGGTTATCGTGTGGTGACGCGTGTGTGACTTTAATATATATAATGTAACTGAGAAAATATTCACCTATTCCTTCCGGATAAAAGACTCGTGTGTTCGATCGCAGTGAGTTACAGAGACGGAATGTTGCAATATTACCGACATTGTTGACGAATTCTAATGGTGCTTCCACGGGACCCGATATTCGTACCTTGTTTAAAAGGTATTGACAGTGCATTGTGCAGGAAATATAAGTTGAAGAAAGACTTTTAGTGCTGTGGACAAATAACATACTCGACGTAATGTTGAGCAGACGTTCGTCTAGTGTTTCTTGTCGTGTGTTAAGTGTTTCAAACGTTTTAAAAATTCGCGAATGTTGGACAGTCACTTGGCCCGCCTCCTCCTCCTCCTCCTCTGTGTGATATCACAACACGATATACAACAGCGTCCTCGTCCTTCACTATCAGGTAAGCCATACCTCCACCCCTCCAAATATCACCTTCATCTACGCTCCTCTATGCATATAATATATTATATAAAATAGAATGTCTGTTCAAAGTTAGACGCTAGACGCTTGGGAGGGGGGGGGGGCTAGCAATACCCAATTTTGTAGGGGAAATGGTCGAAGGGTCACTAACATAGGCCGATCTGGGTAGGCCTAAGTTAAATGATTTACGAAATATTAATAATTATTCACCCCCCCCCCCACTCGATTTTCGTGGATTCAATTCTGGTTAAACGAGAAATATTAGTTCAGATGCCCGAATATTTTTTTCGTCATTAGAAGAATTTATTTTTTTAAACACTGAAATTAGTTTCATTTCTCCATAATTTTATTTTATAAAAGGGAAGAATGACTAATCGTCATGGCAAGGGAGAGTGAGGGAATTATAAATAATAAAGGGGAGGAAATTGGGAAGGGAAGATAAGACAAAGGGAAAAGGATTTAGAGTAAAGGGGGGGGGGGGGGAAGAGTGGAGTCCCCATTGCGAAGTAGTAATACATTTGCCCCGCGCTTCGCAAGCGATTTGGCTTAGGTTCGTATCCTGGCCGGGAGGATTGACGTGGCGCCAATCCTTAAATGTTTTAAGCCTCTATTCACCCAGCAGTGAATGGGTACCTGGTTGTTAAACAATTGGCGAATCGTATTTCAAGGAAACTAGAGGGTAGTATCCGACCAGCCTATGTCAGTTCCCAGACCATTCACCCTGCAAAGTTAGGTGAGGTTAGCCCCAGGCATCTGGCCTAAAACTTTAGACAGGCAGATAAACATTCTCTTATAAATATAGATGACTGAAATGGGATTATTCATATGGTATTTACGCGTTATATCTTTAATGATTGAGGATTGAAAAGTCATTTCACATAAATATATAAATATTTTGTTATTTCAGGTAGGTGCTCGTCGAGGAACAAATGCACCATTTGTTAAGGTACGTTCGTTTTTCATTCTATTTCCGAAACTTTAGTTTTGAAATCTAGTGAACCCAGAGTGTGGGAGGTGTTCATAATTTTCGGGCGTTGTATAATTACTGTTGTGGAGAACTGTGACCAAGACACCAGGCCTTGTACACAGTTCTCCACAATATGCGAAGACTCCGCGAGACCGTCACTGTGCTGCGAGGCTCCGGCTGGTCATGTGTGCATTAGACAAGTACCATGTTGGGGTCCACGAGATGGTGAACTGTGCCTGGCCAGGATGTTGGGGGCCCGCGAGATGAACTATGCCTGGCTAGGATGTTGGGGAGGTGAACTATGCCTGGCTAGGATGTTGGGAGTCGCGAGATGGTGAACTGTGCCTGGCTAGGATGTTGGGGCCCACGAGATGGTGAACTGTGCCTGGCTAGGATGTTGGGGCCCGCGAGATGGTGAACTGTGCATAGCTAGGATGTTGGGGCCCGCGAGATGGTGAACTATGCCTGGCTAGGATGTTGGGAGCCGCGAGATGGGGAACTGTGCCTGGCTAGGATGTTGGGAGCCGCGAGATGGGGAACTGTGCCTGGCTAGGATGTTGGGAGCCGTGAGATGGGGAACTGTGCCTGGCTAGGATGTTGGGAGCCGCGAGATGGGGAACTGTGCCTGGCTAGGATGTTAGGAGCCGTGAGATGGTGAACTGTTACGATATATCGTATCGTGTTATGTCATCGCATAAAGACACGGTATATAATAGAAATACGTTCATTATTACAGGAAGAACGAGGTTAACAACCGTGGAGGTCGTTAACGGTCAGCACGGTATGGCTCGTCCGGTGGCGGGAATTTGTTAGCCAATCAGAGCCACCGGGCGAGGTAACGTGTGCTGGCCGGAGGAACAAAAGAGGACCCATTGATTTTGGAGAGCTGTACGAAAGAACAGCTGAAGCAAATCGCCGAACACTATGAGATAGAATTAGTGTCGACTAAAGTGGTCTATATGAGACAAGAACTTGGAAATAAAGTAAGGTCTCGACGCGAAGACGTCGGAGCGGTAGGATTAGATGTGAGTGCAAAGGAACGTGGGGAACAAGATACTTCCTAATTATCTTCTAGTACGTCTCGTAGGAGTTTAGAATATGAATTGGAACGTTTGAAACTGGAAGCTCAAATTAAGAGGGAAGAGAGAGAGAGTTTCAGTTAGAGAAACTGAAATTGGAGCAAGAGAAAGTGCGACTTGAAAGTGAGCAAAAAACGCGTGTAGAATTAGAAAAGGAGAAAACGAAGCAAATGGAAATCGAAGCAAATAAATTTGTGGCTGCTCAGAGGCGAGGGCGAGAGGTACACTCGGAGAGCACACCTATGCCTGCAGCATATGATCACAAGGCACGTGAAAAGGAGGTTCCGCAATTTTGTCCAGAAGAGTCAGTCTTTTTTGAGCATTTTGAAAAAGTTGCTACACTAAAGCAGTGGCCAGAGGAGGATTGGGCCCAATTAGTGCAAATAAGATTGACTGGGGCAGCGAGAGAGGCCTATACCCAGCTCTCTCTTGAAGATTGTAAAAATTACTGGACTGTGAAAAACAACGTATTAAGATCATTTCTACTGACACCTGAAGCTTACCGGAAGCGGTTCAGAGAAATGGTAAAGACACAAAGGAGCACATATGCTGAAACAGCCAGAGATTTGGAACGTAGATTCCAAAGATGGATGGGTTCCGAAAAAGTAGAATCTTTCGAAGACTTGAAACAATTGATGTTAATGGAAAAATTCTTGAGATATTGACTCCAGACACCAGGTTTAAGGTGCAAGAAGCAGGAATAAAAGCACTCTTAGAAGCAGCGGACAAAGCAGATGTAATTACGGAAGCTTACAGAAGTCTCCAGGAATATGAAGAAAAAGGTCACGTTAAGTTGCAGGGTAGTAAAAGACGGTATACGTGGAACAGTAGAGATGGTCGTGGATATACTGGCAAGCCGATAGCCCGACAAAGTCAGGGGTATGTGGAATTTTCTCCGTCGGGAGGTGACGCATTCGAGGGTCAGGCTAGCGCACCTTCGGGTCAGGGAGGAAATACAACGTCTAGATATCGAGGTACAGGACAGTGGAGACGTGGCGAATCCTATTATAATGGACAACGTGGTTCGAGAGGACGAGGATTCTCTTCTCAGGTAATATGCTACACATAACAAGCCTGGACACTTAAGTAGAGAGTGTAGGCAAGGCAGAAGAGTGGTGTCCCTCACAGTAAGTAAATACAGAAGTCCTTATAAAAGTTTAAAGGATGAATTGCCCCAGGAGAAGATGTCCATTACGAAAAGATATAACCCTTTCATTAGCAAAGGTATGGTGAGCATTGGGGGTCAGCCTGATCAACAAGTCACAATATTACGTGACAGGAGCGAATCAGAGCTTAATACTGAAAAGCTTGATTCCTGAGTACAGATCTTGTATAAATGGACAAATAATTAAGGTACAGGGTATAAATTCAGAGATGCATATACCTGTGTGTACAGTAAAGCT